GTGTATGCTTAAATTAAGTGCTTTTTTGTTGTAAATTTTATTATATAATGGAGATTTGTATGTCCGTCTAGTCTCTATCAGTGTTTCTAGGTCCTCATATTACTCACGATTATGCAAAATTTTGAGTCTTTTTTTTTTACTGAATTTTTCTTTTTGAGTCTTTAATCTCTTGGTATTTTTGAGACTGAACCTAACCAGGGTAATTAAACTGATAACCGAATTCATATTAAAATAATCCTATCCTATACTATTGATTTTTTTTTTTTGGTGTAAAAGATAATGTTTTCATTTCTTTACCAAGATACCACATGTTGTAAAGTCCATCCTAACGTAAATTGAAGCCGAGCGTTAGAAGGCTACTATCACTCCTTTTACCATTGGGCCAACCCAAAGTTGGTAAATTGATTATTTTAGAAGGTTATCGATTATTTGTTATACTGAACTAAAGCATATTCAAAGCATAGCAACACTATTTTTCTATTTTTCAGATCATTAAATTAGTTAAAGGTATTAGTAATCTAGTGAGAGGCTCTAGACATGTACGTTTATAAATCTGTTCTAAATTATCATTAAAATATCCAAATATGATTTTAAAGGTAGATATTATGGAGTTCGGTTATAAAAATCAAAGCAAAACTTGAGTTAAGATCTGAAAATATATTTGAAATTTATTTTTTTATTTTTACATATTATAAGGTAGTTGGATACTTTAAAGTGCTCAACTGATTTTTCTAGTCTGCATACTGAATTTTGTTTTATTATTACGAGTACCTTTGACTTGTTTAAACATTTTGACAAGTTTTGATTAAATTTTGAATAGTTAAATATTTAAATATTTTATTTTCATTAATTTCAAAGAAATATTTTATTCATTGATTATAACTCGATTCGAACCAAATCCAGAAAACATGAATCAAATTTGATCAAAATTGGTAAAATTTGAATAGAATTTATGAATATGGTATCGAAAATTCATAAATCCGAATCAATCGAACCGGACTCAAACATGATACCGAAAGCCTGAGCAATACAATCTTTTATCCCCAATTTTTAATAATTTTTTAAAGTATTATACTTATAAATGAACGATTTTTTTACTACTTTCTAAAAGTTCAAAGCCTAGAGAATCCAGACAAGTAAAAACATAGGAACTATATTTATACAACATACAATTTTCACAAGAGTAGTTAGGCACGTACAGCAAATGAGAAATTAAATTGAGTTTTAGATGTGAAATATAGGTAGGGTAGGCGTGGCAGTCTTAATGGCTCTAGGGGTTTTATTGTTTGAAATTTAGACTATTTTAACTAATTCCTTTTTCTTCTTAGACTTATCGTTGAGTTTCTATTCGTATATGGGGAATGAATAGATAATGAAAAGATGAGAAGGAGATAAAAGAAGTAATAATGGAGGAGAGTCGAGGGAGGATACGAAGCACATGAGGATCCATCATTAATTAATAAAATAAATATAAAAATAACAAAGCGTGTTTTGAGTCATAACTTTACAACTAAATACCCCACAATGCCATCACCATCACCGTGAGTTGTATGAATTGTGTTCTTATCGATTCTCATCTTTTTATTTCTTTGTAATACATGAATTAATAATATAGTAGTATCAGGTTTCATGAGGTACAATAATGTTGTGTTAGGAAAAAACAATGTTCTGTTAGGTCGTTTATGTTGTGAATTAGATTTTTTTTGTTGAACATGCAAGGCTTTAATGTATTGGATTATTTGTTTTGGAATTCATCAATTTGAGTCTGTTTATTAAAATCACTGGAAACAAATATTTATTAACTCTTAACAAAAATTAATTAGTATAAAAATATACATAGTTGGATGACACAAATTTTTGTTAATCGTGCAAAGTTTTCTAACAAGTCAATTGTTGTAGGATTATTGACCAGGTAAGTATAGAGAAGGTTTAATGGTTGTAAGACATGAGTCTGCGCATAATGTAATTATAATTGTATATCAAAGCTTAGAATTTAATATACTCGATTCCATATTGGTAGAGTATTAGCAAGTTCTTTAATACTTTCTTAAAATTAGGTGGTAAAATATTTATATTTCAAATATATAAAGTTTCAAAACTTAATATAATTTATTTATTTTTTTAATAATATTAGAAATTATCTTTTTTACAAATTATATCTTTTTAAAATAATAATTTTATAAAAAAATAAGTTAATTTTACATTATTTTTAAAAACAATACTTTAAGTTTTTCAAATACAAATAAACAATTTAAAAATAATTATGGTCATGATTTAACATAACCATAATGATTTAAAAAATTAACAAATTAAAAATTAACTCAGTTTTATATCATAATTTAATAATTTAAAAATTAATTATGGTTATGAGAAGTTTACGTTCACGTGTCAATCCTTTTTATCTTCAATTTTTTCTCTTGTTGTGTTTTATTTTATTTTGGTTATTCCTCGATATAAATATTTATTTTGAATTTATTCTCATTTTGTTTGTTTGTTTTAAACTTTGATTTAGAAAATACTTAAGATTTAAAATATTTAAAGACTATACACACTTAGGTTAATATCTGCACTTTATGCACAATAAGTATTTTATATTTTATATTTTTCTGCATATTATAAAATAATAAAATAATAAATATATATATATATATATCTATTAAATAACTAAGAAATCAGTTACTATTATGTAACAAATTGGCGTATGCATATAAATTTAACTATTACTCTTGTTTATTCGCAATTAGGGTAAATAAATCAAAATAATAAATCTTATATATTGTATATGATATATAATTTAATCATTTTAGGTAATTCCGTAGGTTTTATATAAGAAAAGCATGCAAAACAATAAATATTTGATATAAGTGACCAACTATAGCCTATAAAATATTATATTATTAGAGAGTATAATTTTTAGACTATACATTATAAAGTATTACATGCTCTAGAATCTTTTTAAATTGAAACAAAAGACAAAAAACTATGCCACAGAGGATTAATGTTATTTTTAATTATTACAAACTTAAGATTACAACTTTTTAAATGATTATCTTTTTAATCTATATGAAATATATTTTGTAATACTTAACGTAAGCAGTAAGCTAGTAATGGACGATTAGTGTTTTGCATGTATGCAGCAACGTCTACAGATTGTATGCTTGATTTTATGTAAATGTTTTTTTCACTTTAAAAACTTATACTAACCATGACAAAGCTCCAAAGGAAGATCAAATCAGAAAAACTAATCCCGTCGTCTCAAAAAAAAAAAAAAAAAAAAAACTCTAAGCCCGAAAGTTTATGGAAAGTCAAAAAGATTAAAGGAAATGAAAGTCAGAAGGAAACATTCCTCCAGAATCACAATAGATTACAAAGCCAAACTAAAACTTAATTAAAACAACGGAGATAATCAAATTACACTGCTTATGTAAATCAAGAAAGATTGAGATGCACAAATCATCGGGAGCACATAAAAAAGCAGTAGATATGATATTACAAACTACATAACCGGTTCTGAGGTTTACGAACATGCCATTTGTTAAAGATTTCAACTAATTTTTTTATTACAAATTTAAAGATCTAAATATATTTTTAGACTTATCTCTATGTAATTTTATCCCAAAACATTTAGAGAAGTAAGGTCAATGTTTCGTCAGATTTGATCCATATTTGGCTTAGAAAGAAGTTGCTGGGCAGACCACAGCCGATAATCAACCACTTAACCACCTACTCTTCAACTTAAAATATCTAAGATATAAACTATGCATTCCCACCAAGAGGTTAGCCTAACAAGAAGCCAAAGAAAAAGAAAAACTATTTGATACTCTAAAGGCGGTGGAAGAGTATAGAGAGAGATTCACTAGAGTTAGCCAAATACTAAATGACTCCAAAAAGACCCAAGCAAGCGACTAAGCCAGAGCTACCCGAGACTAACAAGAACAAACCAACCCCTGGAAGGCTGGAACAGCAGTAAAGTAACGATACTAACCAACCCCTGAGAGTGTGGGAAACCTCTAATATTTACCATAATTATACTATGTGCTATGGTCTCTAAATTGTATGGGTTTGGACTAAAACGCTGTATAATTATTGTGTTCCAAAACATGTAAGCTCTTTGATTTGTGTGTTTATATATATCATAGGCCAAAAACAAGTCAGGGCTACATATGTATGTATAGAATCAATTACTCCAGTACTTTTGTCCGAATTTTTTTTTTTTTTGTGATACTCCTTTCTGAAGCTGCCTAAAATCAAAAATAGATAAATTTTTAATTAAATCAGAAAATTATTAAAAGATCATGGAACCAATAGAAGTTTTCATAATTACAATCTAACTAGGACCATTTCGCAGACCATCGAGACATAAAATTCGGATCTCTTTCTTCATAACTTCTGAAAACTTTGTACGACTTGGTGTAATTGTAAATCTTGGTGTAACTGTACATCGTATAAAACTTTAACTAATATAGACTGTATCAATTACAAAGTTATTCTAAATTGAACTAAGTCGCACTTTTTGATTTGCAAAGTTCGACTAGTTTTGATTACATCTTTTACATTTGCATTATGTTTTTTATGGAGGCAGTGTTGTTAATGATATATTTTATTGAAGTTAAATAAATAAAGATTATTTTATAGAGAAAAACTAGAGAAATTATATTATATGAAATGTATTTCACATAAACTTAGTAAAAGTAGATAAAAAATACATGCCATAACTCAGAAACACAAAACTAATCTTCAATTGGCCAGTGGACAGTAGTCAAGTGAATATTATTGCAGAAGTCCAAGCTACACATTGCCAGAAACAACGATTGCATCTCCACCGTGTTCTAGATCCATCTAAGGAGACTACAAATACCGATTATATTACTGCAGAGCACCAACAATCTCGTCGTTGGATCTATTCTTTCCAGTAGAGACATAAACACCTCAGGTTTTTCGTAAGCCCAATGGCCTGAGGATACCGAAGTCGTGATCATGTAATTCATATGATCAACAAATTAATGACTAAAGTTATGATAATTGTGAACCAATCCTATATCATCAATACTAAACCCTAAGTTCAGAATTCCATCTACATACTTGGCCACCAACAATCCTCTCTCACCAGCAAGATGGATTTTTTCCCTTCTTTCATCAAGTAAATGGAGAACGAAGAACTCATACATACCTCGCATGTAGATGGCCTCTAGATTACCAGATTGGTAGCACCTAAGCCTGAATGTCATAACAGCATTAGCCTCATCAATCCAGTCATTCAAGTTAAAGAGATCTGAAGCTCGGTAGAAGTATTCTTCTCTACCAATTCGATTGAACCCGGAGAAAGCAACTTTTTCCCTACCGAAGTCCCGGAGATGGCTTGTTGCTACCTTTGAGAGAATCTTATGAAGCATGGAAGGAGGAAGAAAAGCCAAGTTAAAGTTCGACATGGAGAGATATTTGTTTAATCAAGTAAATGGAGTGATTTTCATTTTATTTATTTAGACAAGGTGATAAACCCTGTTATAATGGGGATGATCCTCTAACCAAAATACAAGTAGTAGGGAACTTCAACTAACGTGAAGAGATAAGTATAAACTGAGTATTTGCTACCTCACTTAAGGGTGATTGATAGATGCCTCGAGAACACACGAGTTCAGAAGACACGACTTCTCTGTGCAACAACAGGCGCATGGGTTGGATTTGAAACTTTGAAAAACTCTAATCGATAAAGATATATAACTGTGTATAAGTGAAAGTATCTGACTTAGATTGTCTAAATTCATGAAACTAAGCATAATTTTAACAATTTAGATTGTCTAAATATATGAAACTATGTAAAACGTTAAGAAAACTAGATTGTCTAAATTTATGAAACTATTATAATGACAGCAACTAGCAGTGTATGAGACAATAAATGAAAATGGTAATATTTAGTTTGAGAAACATCTTGTAATTAATGATTCAAGCAGTGGTGTGTCCATTTAAGGGTAATTTGATTAACTCCTCGAGAAAGCACGACTTTTCTCTCACATGCATTCTGACTGCAACAGTCGCATCTCTTGAATTTGGAACTTTGTATAACTTTGATTTATTAAAATTTATAACTATGTATAAGTAAGTGAAATTAAGGGTCTAAATGGTGACATAAGGAATGACGGAGAATAATCAATTCCTACTCATTCCTTAAAAAATATACTATTCATGAGAAGTATTTGCTGTATATGATTCCTTCTCATTCTCTAAATTTAGAGGAACTAAAGAGCAAATCATTCTTTATCAAAATTGATATGGAACAAAAGTAATAAATATTCCTTTTCATTCCTTTTATTTTGTTCCTGCTCATTCTTTTCCTCCCATTCATATTTCAATGGTCACCAGTTAGAGCCTAAGTGATTTAGATTATCTAAATTTATGAAACTAAGAACGACGTAACAATTTAGATGGTATAAATATTTGAAACTGTGTAAAACTTATTATACTTTAATGGATATATTTAATGATCAGTATCCAAAATTTATTATACTTAGTGGATATATTTAATGACAGAAGCTAACATTATAGGATTAATGATTTATTACCCAAACTTCCATTTTGTAGCTCCTCTATTTATGGGTGATTTGATGGACTCCTCAAAAGAACACGACATTTCTCATGAAAAAGTCTCTTATAATAATTATTACACTTGTATTTAAACGCCACAACATTACACCGTATACAATCATCATCACCATTGCAATTAAACTCCACCACAGTAAGTTAAATCGTCTTCTTCAGTCTGGATATAATATTTCTCTGCAAATTTCACCAGAAAGAAAAACAAAGAATATATTCATCATCTCCTCTCTCAACAAAAAAGATGACACAGTACAATAAGCTTTCAGAAGCTTTTTATAACCCCAAGATCACGGCTTGGCGATTCAGAGTCAAAATACACATGTCTGTCTTTTCTATTCCTATGTTGCCAGGAGTGGACCTTTCTATATCTATGTCCTAGTAGATGAAGAGGTATGCTCTCAAGTTTCTAATAACATGAAACCGTGAAAAAAAAAAAATATATCCTTGTACTTTATTTATGTAGGGAACTAAGATGGAGATGACCATTTATGGAGATTATGATAGGTTTAGAAGCCTAGAGAAGCAAGAGGGAAACTGGGTGGAGATATTTCTGAAAGAAGTTAACCGTTCCTATCTAGGTTTCCAGGCAACTAACTCTCGGTTCAAACTAACTGCTACGCACTATACACAAGTCTAAATCATCGATTCTCTAAAGAATCGGCTTTTCATGGAGTTCAAGAAAATCCATGCAATCCCTCACATAGACCACTGAAACCGGAACTATCCCATAGGTCTGAATGCTACTAAAATTTAAATATATTCACATGTTTAGATTTATGAAACTAAGATAAACTAAGAAAAATGTAACACTTGTCTGGTAGATACAATGGGAGTGGTCTTCAACACGAAAGCCCATTTAGATGAGTCTAGAAGTGATCATGCTTATGCCTCCCAGGATGGTCTTGAAAACATGAGATAGTTGAGTTAAACGTTTACTAAACTCATTTATACATGTAGTTTATGTGTCTAGTTTTGAATGTTATAGTTGAGTTAAATGTTTACTAAACTCATTTATACATGTTATTTTGGTCCTCTTGATCTATGGCTTGGGACCGAGGGTGGATTATCTGATTTCAGGTTTAATCCGCGTTTGCCGGAGGTTGAGGAATTCAGGCAGTCTTTACTATGCAGTAACCCTTATGTTCAGAGATATGAGGCTGTAGGTCTTTTCTAAATCTTGTTGTTCTCAATGTTCTCCATCTTCGTACTTGTCTTAAACTTAGGTGAAACTTTGTCTAAATGTTGGTGAAACTATGTCAAATTTTGGTGAAATTTTGCGGTTTTAACTTTTTCAAATTTCCAACTTCTAAAAAAATAGATGAGTTAGAAGTTCGTGCTCGTACGTATAAACTAGTAAAAATTTATGTTTTCACTTAATCAGCTGTCTAACTTTGTAAAATTTAGACAGAGTTGAAATTCGTTTTCGTATAACTAGGTCAGACTTTGTGTTACTTTCACTTTCTGAATTGTCTAACATCGTAAAAATTATAGAAAATTTTTCGATAGATCAAACTACATAGTTATCCAACTTCGGATAACTTAGGAGAAACTTACAAAAAACTTAGAAAACAGAAAGTTTAAATTTGTCATAGCTGTAGGAATTGAATTCTCTTAGGAATTACTTCTTGTACATCATAATTCCTAGAACTAAAACGAAAGTAAGAATAACACAACCTCCTGATATCTTTATCTTGGGCATTATTTTGAGACCTTCACTAAGTTCACCTTCACTCCTTGTTGTTGCTTTGAGAAACTGAACTTCTTCTTCTAGCATTCGGACTTGGTAGTCCAACTGTTTTATCTCATCGGTGAAAGCTTCATCAACCCATTAAAATATGTGATTGTCGTTATCAAGCTACAATGGATTAAACGTACCAATTAAAAGAAGAACGAGTAAGCCTTCAATAAGTAAAGCTCAACGGATGTACCCTTAGTGAAGCCGCATAGAAACACTGATAATACCGGTAATAGGGTTTTGATTGCTTCTGGAGATGAGCTCGGTGATGCTCACCCCGCACCAACGCTTACTAGGTATTCATGGAGTTTGTACTCGTCTCTGACCACCGGTCATGGAAGATGAAGCAGACATCTCCATTATTTCTCTCTCGGGGTTGGGAGGAGTTTGGTTGGGAGAGAGATAAATTAAGGAATAGAGAGAAATGAGAAGATAACAATGGGGAAAAAAAAGGTCTTTAATACCTCGATTAAACCATTTTGGGGTTTCAGCAAATCAAATTGGGAAGAGGTAAATTAGAAATTTGAAAAGCTGAGCGGGAAATTTTATCTAAGAAGTTTTGTGGTAGAAGTTTCACCAAGTTTTTAGTTTTACAGGAAATATCGAAGTTGTACTTTTAAATTATTTCCATTTATCTTAGTTATGGAAATACCAATTAAATTATGTTTCCTTGATTCATTTCTCATACAATCATGTACACATAAACTTGATTTCGTGCCATTAGCAAATTTTCAAATGTAACAAGGTGAGTATTAACGAAAAAAGCTATGAGAACGCAACGTATTTCCTAAATGATTGATAACAAACAAGGAGATGGAATTTTAATAATTCTGATTAGATCATAATTATCATAAACATTAATAATAAATCACCATCTTATTGCTTTCATGACTTACTAACAAGTTTAGAATTTACAATCATATTATTCAATTTACCTATCATAGTTATACCAATAAAGAAAAAAGTTTCACTAGGTTGTACAACACATAAATAAAAATTTCACCTCATAACGTTCCCATACGATAAACACATCAAAACTGAAAGTGAAAGGCTTACAACCTACTTCACATCAAAACTGAAAGCAAAAAGTTTTCAATCTACTTCAAATCAAAACTGAAAGCAAAAGTTTTACAACCTACCCCTTTTTTGTTTCTTGTGGGGGTGTTCACCGCTTTTTCAAACCAGTGCCCACATTCTCTTCTTCTCCATATCCACTTTCACGATCACTATAATTCCTTCTACAAGAATTTTCTCCAACTCTTGATAGTTTCTCGGTTATTTGAGCTATTTGCAATTCTTGGATGTCCTCCACATGCAAAATAATTCTTCTTTGCTCTCTATCCACTGATGTTAGATAAACAAACACATCTTCATCATCCCAAATATATGATTGCCTCTTAGGTTCCACTACCAATTGAATGTAACTCAAATTGAGCATCTTCGTAAACGGATCTATTCCCATCTTCCTGCATATCCTCTCCTTCAACAATGAATAAGTTATCTCCTCCATTGATGATATCTTAAAGGATATAGCATACAAACAAGCATCGGTTGGAATCCATTCATAATCATCTCCAGCCTTCGAATAATGTCCATCATAATCGAAGTGTATGTTCGTCAAAAAATGACACATTGTCTACAATATAAAAATTTAAACTTGGTTATATAGTTATACCATTAAAGTTATACTTCGTTATACCATGTTTCAAAGTTTTGTGAGTTCAGCCCGTCTAATCTAACCAAGTTTCCCCAAGTTTCAGAGTTCTAGATGTTTCTCTCAAAACCAAATAGTAATCATCTTTCTTTGATTGAATCGTCCTTTCATTTCTGACATTCAATCATACAGTTGTTGATTATCCAATTGAGTAATAGACAGACTGCCCACACTTTTCGATCCTCATACACAAATGAATAAGAAAATTTCCATTACTACGAATCGAGTCTTCAGTTCAAAACCAAATTGTAATAAACTTTAATTCCCGACATGTAATTATAAAATTGTTAATTATCGAATTCCCTAATAAAGAAACCATCCAAACTTTCTGATCCTCGACTAGTTCATACACAAATATGAAATCTTTTATTCAAATTGGAATCCCTGTGAATAAATCGTCTATTGTGGATTCTAAAATGATTTGAGATACATACCCTGTAAAACGAAATCAATAGCTCAATGATTCAACAACCAAGCGATGAAATCAAATTAGTAATTTGATGATAGCGAGGAAGAACACCACAAGGAGGACGAGAGAGGAATCTACGAGAGAGAGGATCGAGGAAAAGAGGCTCGACTCGAGAGAGAAGGAATATAAAGAAGAGATTAATTCATTTATTTAAGTTTAAATCGGTCAGGGGAACTTTCGACATTAACCACACTTCTAGAGAGAATCAAATCGACAAAAATACATCAGAATTTGAAAGAGTGTGCCAAAATACTTTTTGCCTCATTAAAAGCATCTGAGATTATTTCCGGTATGTACAACTAGGGGTGGGCACAAGCCGAGTACTTGGTATTTTTGGTATACTTAATACTCGGTTTGGTTTGTATGAGTATTCAAATTTTGGACTTGTACTTGGTTTGTAAAAAATGAGTACTTGCAATTTCAAGTACTTATGATAAAGTGATGGACTTGCAAATTACTTACCTTTTTTTTACTACTTGTTATTTGTAAACTTTTTTAAAAATTACTTGCTAATTATTGGTAAATTATTTGATAATTAGTTAAAATTTAAAGGTATATTAATTTATCATATATAAATAATATGTCACTGTTTTCATTTTGTCATTGTTTTTTTCTGATTTTTAGTCATTCGTGAAATAGATTATATTAAGAAAAAAATTTCAAAGTATTGTATAAATATATCACTTATGTTTGACTCACTTATAAAAATTGAAATATAAACGAGTTATTTTACCATGATAGGAAAATGTATCCTTGTTCATTAACAAAAACGAATAATAAACCAAATAATGCTGAATAATTAGTTTTATTTTATTATTATGTATTTGTTTGTATTTGAAGGCAGTTTAAATAGACTATTTGATACACATCTTAGTCAAAACAAGTATTCGACTTTAAGGATCGTGTACCAACCAAGTAGTGAACATGAAGTAAGTAACAAGTAATTGTGGGCACTCATAAAATACATAAATTTAAATTAATTAATGAAATGTATACTAAGTATTTAATAAACCAAGTAATATATGACAAGTAACGTAAAAAATAATAAGTAATAAACTACATAGTTAAAAATTAAAATGAACTTGATACTTGACTTGTCCTTGCGAGTAACCAAATTTATTTACTTGTTACTTGACTTGATTGAAGCAAATACTTGTTTTTCAAACCAAACCGAGTTAAGTAACGAGTACAAACCGAGTATCAAGAATTTGTGTCTGGCCCTATGTATAACAAGTAACTAAGAGCACCTACAACGCAAGTACTTAATGAATCCTTAGCGGGGTTACATATGCAATGAAGGATAAAAAAATAAGAAAAAGTGTGATTAACATAAGGATTGATCCGTAGGTAAGGATTTTAAGGATTCAGTCCTTGTTGACGTGGTAGTGGGGAGGGTCGTTTTCGTGATGTGTTTCATTTTCTACTCTACACCCGAAAAAAAATTTTGTGTATGTGAGAAAGTCGATTTCCTCTCTTCAGATTTACAAGGTAAATCAAAGGCTCCTTTGCTTGATTTATTGCTTCGAAATCGTTTGCATGTTGTTTTCCTCTCATTTTCTGGTTGGGATTTTCGTTTGAAATCGATTTAGGGATCACCGTTCAAAGATAGGATTTGGAAACGAAAGGGTTTCAATCGATTTGGGGATTCTTTAGTCTGTAGTAAGGGTTTCTAATTTGTACTTGTCTTAAATGTTCTTTTGGGGGTGAATTAAGATGAGAGTCATGAAAAGTTGTGGTTTTTTTATGTCCTATGGAGTTAGTACTATCGCAGTGGTGAGCAGAGATTTGTATAGAAGATGTATAATCATAACTGTCTCTGAAAATAGGATCTCAGGGGTTTGTTTGATGTTGCATTTGAAAGAGATTTGTACTAATACGGGAGGTTTTGGTGTTGGTTTGTTTTTCAGGAGCCTTGTTAGTGATGATCATGGTACTCGTAGTCACATGTTTAACATCTTATTTCGTCTTTTGCTTTTGTTAGCTATTTGAGTTAGAGAAGGTCAACGAAACTGAAGTTATGAATGCACTTTTTGAGTTCTTTGTGTTAGAACTTGGAACATATCAAAAACATTAGCGTTTTATCTAGACAGTGATTAAGTTTGTTGAGTCTATTTTTGTTTTGTCCTAGCTAAGAGACGTGCTAGGCATGGGCTTAGACTTAAGTTAGTTTTCAAAAGACTTTCATATGTGATCTAAACATTGTTTGCATCTCTGTTTATTTATTCTTCTCTTGATGTGAGATGAGATCTCTTATATGACGATGTTTTCATTATGAATTTGAGATATAAGATATATTATTTGGTGCAGACAATAGTATCCTTGGAGGTTCTTGTGATTGCCTGTTGTGGTACTGACTGTTTTAGTAATAATGGTTCTCTCAATTTTGAAAATGATCTTTACAGGTAAGCTTGCGCAATCAAAGTCAATCTTGAGTACAGACTATGCATATGGAGGATTGTTACAGAGGCACTTTAGTAAAGCTGCAGTAACCAATGGCTGCTGCAACTCTTGACACTCTGCAGCTGAACTTACAAAAGCTCCCTCCACCTTTCCTGCCACTTCCTCCGAGGAACTGATTGTGAAGTACAAGTCCCAGTTGAAAATAAACCCAAGGCATGCCTTCATGATGGTCTTTACCTGCAAGGTCTGTGAGACGAGATCAATGAAAATGGCGAGCAAGGAATCATACGAAAGGGAGCTTTGGTAGTGCGATGTGAAGGGTGTGATAATCTGCATTTGATTGCAGACCGTCGTGGCTGGTTTGGAGAACCAGGGAGCGTGGAGGAGTTTCTTGGCAGGTACAAATTCAACAACATATGTTTTTTATTGAGTAGCATCTGCAACAATTAGATTATTTTGTGTGTTTGTATATGGACTATGAGGTTATACCATGTTGTGCAGGTCTAACTCTTAGTACTCCTGGAGATCTTGCTATAAGTCTTGGGACCAATGACACGGCAAGGCTCCTGATTCCTGTTAAGATTTCTTGTTGTTCCAGAAACAGACTTGTCTCCTTACCATTTTTACATGTCGAATACAAGTATTTGGGATTACCAAAGAACATCAACCCAGTCTTGAGGGACATGTGTTTCCTAATCACGTGGATCCCGAGAGTTACATGGTAATGTTGGTTTACAAGAATGCTTCTCTCACCCGTGAAGGTAGACTCATATATGCAAACTCCCACTCTTATCTGTTATTAGGCAGAAAATAATTCAGAACAATATTGCCTTTCCGTTTCAGCAATTTGTGACCGTTGCGCTGAGGGATCTTGGGATGTTTTTAACAAGAAACTCCTATACTCGCGTACGTTTCCTCCTCACATCCCTCTCTGAGCATATATCTAATGTGTGTGTGTGTGTGTTTTTTTGTTCTTGATGTGTTAATTCATCTTTATAGACTATGGCATTAGAGTCAATCACTTAATCATTAGCAACACTCTTGTTATCTGATAGTTACTAGTAGGTCCATATGTTTGTTGCATATTTGTATTTTAAGGTGTTTCCATTATTTCTCTTCTACAAACAAAAATTTCACAAGTTCTATAATTTATTATTTTTTTAATTTTTAAGGACTTTTAATTGGGTAACACCATTGGACAAACATTTTTGATTAAAATTCTTAACTTTTTTTTTAAAAAAAAAAAACTAAAATAAAGCTAAAGATTCCAATGAAGGATAACACCATTGGAGATGCTCTAAGAAAACATATCCAACATATCCAACATATCCTTTCTCGATGCCCAACTCTATCGCAGATTCGCAGCCAGAGAAAAAAATAACGAAAATAAACATTAAATAAATGAAGAAATTAAGTTGATCAACTGCATTATATAATGAGGGGTATTTTGTTTAAGAAAAAAAAGTGAAAATTATTTTCCGGACAAATAATATTCGTTTTTAATAGTGAGAGTTGTTATTTTATGATCATAAAGAAAGATGACAGTTCAATGTCCTCCATGTGCTGTTCGTTACATGATTTATTATGTTGTTTAAGTTTCCATATAGATATTATTTTCAAAAATACATATTAATGCATTAAATAATTAATTTTACTTATTGAAAGTTAGTATCGAAGAGACTGATTTTACAATCCAACTAACTACCTTTCTGAACACGTTCCAACTTACAAAAGAGAATGAGTATTTTGGTTAGTTTTATTTTATTTTCAATAAATTCTTTTTAAGGAAGGAATCTTTCAACTTCTCTGGCGATTTTTTTTCAATTTTCCTAAGTTTACTTGTTTTAGATAATCCCTTTTGATGTACAATTACTGTATTCATGGTATATACATGGAAACGGTCCTGCCAAACTACTTTTTTTTACTGTCTTGCCAAACTACTATTCAAAATCCTTATAAAAAACAACAACTATTTCTAACATTATTATTTTCTGATAATGATATTCTTTGTTATTCACAATAATGAGAATAATGATAAGATGTTTATAACTAAAGAAAATAATCAGAACAATGATAACGGTTAACAGGAAACTCAACCAATAATGAATAGTATAATTATTATTCTAGAACATAATAATTAATAATTACTTAATTTTGGAGCGGCTCATAGGAACCACGTACGTACCAGAGAAAGCATACTCTGTTATCTTTGAATCTCCACGCTTATGCTTCTCTCTCTTCTGCAAAATTCCGTTTTTTTTTTAATTTTTTTCTCTCTTCTCTACAAAAGTGAGAAAGCGACCGGAGTTCCGTACTTTGGATTAAATGTGTTTCGTCTCGCTGTATCGTCAGTTTCCTACTACACACCATTAGTCTTCTCTCTCTCTCTCTCTCTCTCTCTCTGTCTGAATGCGACTTTCCCGCTGTTCCCCCATTTCTCTCTCTGTCTCATCCTCTCACATTCTCTCAATTATCGAGGCTTCATTGATTCACGAGAGACAAAAACTAATTGAATATAGTTTTTACCTCTCTTGATCGGTTCATTGCGTAAAGCTCGTCTCCTGTTTCTATTCTGTTCTGTTCCTTGTTTCAGACTCTGTCTTTTTATTTTGATTCAGAATTGGCTCTGTTCGTCGGCTTTGTCTGTGTGATAAAGTCTTTATCTTTTCTTCTCTTAAAAGACAATTCAGTGATATACTTTCCGAAGTTCACTCTCTCTTGTCGGATTCATAAGATCGGAAGCTTCATCGCGGTTTCAACTACTCAATTTTCGAGCCTCTCTTAAATTTTCTTTCACCGGAGAGATCCAATCGCCAGGAGAATGGGAGGCTTATTACATCTCTTCGACTTCCACAACAACAGTTTCTCTCGGAGAGTTTTCTCTCATCACAAAAGCCGCGATGAAGGTGAGATTTACATAGAAAAAAAAATCATTGCTAAACTTCTTTGTTTATAGTTCAAGATTTGATTTACCGAATCATCTTTTTTTTTTTCCTTTTTTTTTTGTAGATCTGGAAGCTCCTAGGAATAGTTTTGAGTTTCAAGTTGACAATGTTCAGACACACCATAACGAGAACAATAAACCGGTAACTAAAACGACCTTTCTTTTGTATTCTCTCTAACCGCTACATTCATTAATCACGCCAATACTTTGTCATATTTTCGCAAACATTACCTAAGAACAAACGAGATTTTGCAGTCATATTTTAGAAACTGAAAATTTATTATTTATTTAATTTAACTGCAGGGATATGGATTCGAGGAAGATGAATGGTATGAGCGAAGCTGTTACCCTATTGAGGAATCAATGAAGAAGAAGATCATCGAAGAGCTTTCAAAGCGTTCCAACGATAAACATAACTCGCCAAGTCTTGTAGCTAAGCTTATGGGAATGGAAGCCCTTCCTTTGGAGTCAGCTAAATCAACGGCTTGGATTAATCCCCGTCAAACTACTAGAGTGGATCAATCTCATGAGAAAGGAGGGAAAAGAAACAAAAAGGAGAAGAGATTAACTTCATCATCAGTGAGTGTCATGGAGATTGAGGAGATTACTAATCGACCAATGCGTAGAGAACATCCTCAAGAAGAAGAGCTTCAAAGATTCAGAAGAGAGTTTGAAGCATGGCAAGCTGATAGAAGGTCTAAAGATTGTTCAAGAATCATCGATTCTGGCTCCTTGGCGGTGGCTCGGGACGAGAAAGAGAGGCTTTTCACAAGAACTAGAAGCTTCGGTCGAGATTTCAACTTGAAATCAGACAAAACCGGTCCAACTAGGATTGTGGTTTTAAGACCTGGTCTTCATAGAGTGTATGATTACGAAGATTCGTTAACTACTTCCTCAGGGACAACCATGGAAGGAAGCAGCATAGAAGAGTTTCTCGAGGAAGTGAAGGAGAGGTTAAAAGGTGAGCTTCAAGGAAGAGCTGCTCTCAAGAGAAGTTCATCAGTAAGAGGAAGCGGGATCGAAACTCCTTTCAGCGAAAGACCTTTTCCGAGGTCTGAATCGATGAGATCATATACGGAGAGTGAGGTTCAGTACAATGCGCCAGACTCTCCTCAAGAGTTTATTAGTAGAGATACAAGAAGACTCTTGGCAGAGAAAGTACGCAATGTTTTGCGTAAAGAGATGAGTCCTTCAGACGTTAGCAGTAGCCGTTTGCGACCTACTGTATCGGACGCAGAGAGCTTGCAGAAACATACCGATGACATCGAAGAAGACACGAGGAGAAACAGAAATGCTCATAAGAAGGAGCCTTCATCACCAAGAAACCTCAAAAGATCACTCTCTGCTCCTGTCTCAGGGACATCATTTGGTAAGCTTCTGTTAGAGGACCGACATGTTTTGACAGGCGCGCAGATCATGAGAAAACACGAGGCTGTAATAACAGAGGGAGAAGAAACAGAACCAGTTGTTGTGGATCCAATCAGGAGGAAAGAAAGATTCAATCTCAGGAAGAAAGTCTCCAGTTTCAGATCATCTCTTAGAGGAAGAATCTTTGGTAAGAAGATACGTTCAATGATCGAATCCAACAGCTTTGAAGATGAATCAATCAAAGACTTTGTGACGGGTTCGAGGTTTAACAGCTTTTATGATCGAAATGTAAGAACTTTTCCGTCACCAGTTTGAGGTGTCCTTATGATCTCAACTAAGACAAGTTTTTGTGTTCTGTTTTTCTTTCAGGAGAATTCAACAGAAGTGCCTCCAAGTCCTGCATCAGTCTGCAGCAGTACACCAGAAGAGTTTTGGAGAAATGTCGATTATCTCAGCCAAGTTTCGACGCCCGATGTGACTGTATCTGATGAGAATGGCATGCCTCAAGTGTTCAGAGACATCAGTTCCAATCTTAGTGGTAAGATTGATCTCTTTTTGCTTCTTCACACTCTTTGAAGTGTTTCTCATTCTCTGTTTCTGCTGATTCACAGAACTAAGAAGGCAAATAAATGAGCTTGACTCAGATATACAAGTGCCAACCTCTGTGGAGGAAGAAGCTGCTCGAGAGATTGAGATCACCGTTGATTTAGGAAATCCAGATAAGACCTTTGTTAGAGATCTTCTTATGGCTTCTGGTTTGTATGAAGGGACAACAAATAGATCACTGTCTATATGGGATCCATTTACAAAGCCTATAAACAAGTCTCTTCTTGAAGAAACTAAAGAGAATCTTAAGAAGAGACGCAATCAGAATCAAGAAGAAGAAGATATTGAAGATAATCACAACATACTGTTTGATCTTCTGAACGAAGTACTTACGGTGGTGCTTGGACCAGTGAAAAAGTCAGGTTTCAAGAAGAAACTTTGGAACTTGTGTGTGTCTGAACCAACGGCTATACGAGGTAAATATCTGTTGGAATCAGTTTGGAGGATCATGTCGGAGTATTTGTATTCTCAGCCAGAGAAACCCTTTTGTTCATTGGATGGGATCATTGGTTGGGACTTGGAGAGGTGTCCATGGAGTTGTTTGATTAGTGAAGAAGCTACTGTATTGGGGAGAGAAGTTGAAGGTATGATCATGTCTGATCTTGTTGAGGAAGTTGTTAAAGATCTAAGGTCACAAATGGTTTAAAGATAATAAGAGTTGAGATGCTGAAGCAGAACTGATTGATTTGGTTTGGTTATGTGAATGGGGTTTTTTTGTGTGTGTTTTCTGTAAATAAGGTTATTTTTAATGGAGTGTTTTTTCTTGAAGAAAGGATTTCCGTGGTAACGTACCTGTAAATGTTTACTGGCAGTACAGGGAAGAAGCTCTCTTCTCATTGCTAAAACTACTACTTTACTAATACTAAAATGAGTCTTTATTGTAATGGTGCATATTTATCACAAACGTAAACGGGATTTGACAGAAAAGGGTCTGAATATTATGAGCCAACTGAACCTTGCATACATTCATGAATTAGACGACAACTGGCGAGAACTGACCATTATCATTATGTTTCAAAACTACTCTTTCTCCCAGCATATTTATATGAAGATTTTGCATCATTAAATAAAAGGAAAATCACATAAAAAACTTTCAACTTACACTTTAAACTCTAAGAGTATTTTACAAGCACTTTAAACACTTAAGTTGGCAAATTTAGCATATTAAACCTCCAATCTGGCTTACTTGTACATCAAGTTAAAAATGTGACCGGTACTGTTCAAAAGCGATGACGTGTCGGTTTTTTTTTTTAAAAAAAAAAAATTTACGAAAAAAATAAATATAAAAATACAAAAAATATAAAAATTCATTAAAAATCATTAAAAATTCTTTAAAAATTGAAAAAAATCAGAAAAATTCAAAAAATCAGAAAAATCATAAACATTAAAAAATCGCAAAATAATTAAAATATTTTATTAATAAAATATTAAAATAAGAAAAACTTAAAAGAAATTATAAAAAAACCCAAAATAAGAAAATTCAAAAAAATTTAAATAAAACAAAAATGAAATTTAAATAAAATTAATATAAGAATAATAGATAAAATAAATATAATTTCAAGAATAAATAATTTTATTTGTTTTATAAAAAAACGAGAAAACACTATTTTTTTTTTAAAAAAAAGAATCATTATCTGAAGATAATTTGTTTGCTTTGATTTGGTTCACGAGAATCATTTGAAGATAATGATTCTTTTTTAAAAAAAAATATAGTGTTTTCTCGTTTTTTATAAAACAAATAAAATTATTTATTCTTGAAATTATATTTATTTTATCTATTATTCTTATATTAATTTTATTTAAATTTCATTTTTTATTTAAAATTTTTTGCATTTTCTTATTTTGGGATTTTTTTATAATTTCTTTTAAGTTTTTCTTATTTTTAATATTTTATTAATAAAATATTTTAGTTATTTTGCGATTTTTCAATGTTTATGATTTTCTGATTTTTTTGAATTTTTTCTGATTTTTTGCAATTTTTAAAGAATTTTTAATGATTTTTAATGAATTTTTATATTTTTTGTATTTTTATATTTATTTTTTCGTAAATTTTTTTAAAAAAAAAAAAAAACCGACACATCATCGCTTTTGAACAGTACCGGTCACATTTTTAACTTGATGTACAAGTAAGCCAGATTGGAGGTTTAATATGCTAAATTTGCCAACTTGAGTGTTTAAAATGCTTGTAAAATACTCTCAGGGTTTAAAGTGTAAGTGGTTGCCACCTTGAAGGTTTTTTATGCGATTTTCTCTTAAATAAAAGAATTAACTCGAGATGTCCTATGCCCCTTTCAAAAATTTCGATATGCACTTTTAATATAATATAATTTTTTATTTTGTATTAAATATAATATGGTTAAAGATAAGTTGTCCCTTAATAAAATCAGATTTTAATGAGCTTAATTCTATATACCTCATACCCCCTTTCAAAATTCCCTATTCTTCTTTTATTTTTTATTTTATCTATTATATTAAAAGAGAAGTCACAACTTCTTTTCATGTATGATTTTTTAAAAATGGATCCTTCCTTAGAAAAGTTGTAACCTTATCTTTTGTATTTGTATAATAAAATCTTAACAACTATATTTAATTTCCATTTTCATTCTCTTAATACATAAGAACATCTTAAAACTAACAATACATTTATATAAACATTTAAATATATGTTCAACGTTAAAAATATGTATTCATAAAATAAGTAACATATGTATATAAAATTAAAAGTAATACCCGCGCGGTTGCGCGGGTAAAGATCTAGTATCTCTTTAAAATGAAATCAAAATATTTGTTACATTATATTATGTTTTAAAATAAAAACATAAGAATTAATAGAAAATAATATAATTGGTTAGTATTAATTTCTGACTTCATGTTTAAGATTTTTCCAAAGGGTTTATGATTTATCCAAGAGTTTAGGGTTTAGAGTTTTAGTGTTAAAATATTTGTATTTAAATATTTTTGTCATTTTTTGTAAATATTATGATTTTTATTTATGTTTTCTATTTTTATTTAAAAAATATAATATAACTTAACAAGATTTTATTTTCTTTTTAAAAAGATATCAAACATGAAATAACACAGTCCTATTGGGAGGTGAACCCAAGAATAATTCATAAGCGCTAATTCACTAATCATCAATCTATGCAATTAAAACATAAATACAAAATAATATTTGTCTATTTTAAGTGATTTTTATACAGACTTTCATTCATTTTAATTACTTTATTCAGTTCATTTTTTTTATAACACTAAGAGAGTACAAGGTTCGTCGAGATGAAAAAATGATACAAAAGACATAAAAAAGATAAAGAAATAAGATGTCAGAAGACACCATCAAAGAGGGAAAAGAGGAGGAGCTTACAAACCCTTTCTTACACTGCCTCCAAAGCGAGTAAGTGATGAAGCCACGATGGAGCATTCCGAGCGATATACGACTGGTGGCGCTTATCTCGAGTGATAGAGAGAGCAATAGCCGCTGCAGCTTCGTTTATTCAGTTTATTTATTGCTTTTTCTACACAATCACTTTATTTATTATTTTTTTATCAATAATCACTTCATTTATTGTAATCATTTAATTTATTGTCTTGTATGAATATAAAATTTATATGTATTTAGTTTTGATGTATGGAAATTTTAAAATATCCAAAAACTAATATATCTGAGATATTCGGATATTTGTAACAAAAATAATCAGTTTAACCTATTCAATTCACGTATTTTGAATCTAAAGTAAAATAATTAAATAACTAAAAGTAACCATACTATTCGGTTTGATTAAAATTCAGCTCTCATGTATAAGACTTGAAATATACAATTAATTATGCAATGACATATATAAAATATATAATTATAAAAAATATATTAATTTATAAAATTGAAAATTTAATATCTGCACAGATGTGTGGGTTAATTTATGTTTAATTTTAAATTAGAAGTCCATAATAAACTCGAATTTAACATGTGATCAAAGTCCAGATATTAGCAATTCTAAACTCTTAATTAATTAATTAACTTTTCCAACCAAATTTAAAGATCATGATTTAATCTTCTAACTAGGTATAATTTAATATATAAAAAAATAGCAACAATCTCCTAATTACTAATTGATTTTAAGTTGGAAACTCATAATAAATCGAAATCTAACAATAACTATGTATATATATATATATATATATATATATATATAAAAGAATTATGGATATTTCAATTAAAAACAACTAGAAAAGGAAGTATTCCCGCACATTATATAATCTTTCATACTGACATTTAAATTTCTCATCCGAGAAGCCGAGAAGTTAATGGGAAGTGACAAAGTAAACATATCTTCTATTCTATTAAAATAGAGTCATTCTTTTTATTTACTGATACAAGTTGTCATTTAAATTTGGACTATTTATAGAGTGTTACAAATATGTAACACAAGTCATATAGTTAAGTGAACCGCATTACTTAAATTAAACCGATGGTTATTTATGGGATATAGTCTTGGGCTTATTTAAAACAAATTATATGGTTTGGTTTTTGGGCTTAGTAGTAAGGAAAAACTCCAAAAAACATTGAATAAACTTTTCACCTTAATGGATCAAAAAATCAGTTATTATTTTTACGCCCAAAAGATATTTAATATTTTTAAACAAAACAAGATTATCTATTATTAATTATTTATTTAAATCATGTGCTTTAAAACATGTTAATGTATTTTTTTTATTTTAAATAAAAATCACTTTGTTTTGATAAATTTCAATGGTAACTTTTAAATAATTTATTGTTTTATTTCTCTTAAATAATTTACTGGTTTAAAAAAAAATGTAAAGCAAAACCAAAAACCAAATCTAAAAACTAAAATCCAAAACCAAAAACTGAAAAACAGATTATATTTTTTTGCTTTTATTTATTTACAAAATAAACTATTACAAATTTCTTTAAAAATTTTTTTGTCATCTTTTCAGTTTTAAATTAGATGTTCGATTATTTGGGATTTGTTTGTTAGTAATATCAGTTCAAACTAATTCAGCGGGTCTAAAAATTAAAAAACCAAACCAAAAGCTGAAAATAAAAAAATAGAAACTTAAAAACTAAAAACCAAAAACCAATATCTAAAACAAAATCTAAAATAAAAACTGAAACTAAAAACTAATGAATAACAATCATAACCACAAATTTTGGTGAATTGATTTTATCCCAAAACATTATTTAAATTAAGACAAAACTCAACTACATAAATTTTTAATCATAAAAAGTTTTCGCGCTTTCAAGCGCGGGTCAAAATCTAGTCTACTCTATTAAAATAGAAGTCATGACTTCACTTGATGTGTGATTTTTTAAATTTTGGACGTATACCTAGAAAGGAGACTTACATTTAATCTCTAACTATTCTAATCATTATTAATATTAGCTAATCGACATTATATGTTTACAAACAATACACCTAAATTTCCGGTTTAGATAACCAGCATGACTTTTTCCCAATAGGTATAAAATTGATGAGCAACTTATAGAATATACGTAATTGATTTAATAAAAAGAAGTCCAACCTAACATTATAAAATTCTATATTCGGTTTAGTCTCATCATTTTATTATAAAAAATAAAATACTGTTTTCGGTTAAACATCAAGTGTTTAATTCTTGACCATAATTTTGATTCAAAATACCGACTAAACATTTGGTTTTGTCGTGACTATACTATCGGTTTAGTATAATGCCAATGAATTTTGTGACAACTTATTTAATGTATTTAACCCCTTAATAAACAGAAGCCGTGTCTCAACCGGTTTGTCCATATATATATGAATCGTAAATTTTTTTTTTTTTTTTACAAAACCAAGTATAATCATAAAATCTAACTAGTTTTAATATCTTTTAACTTGGA